ATCAAACTACATAAAACTAGTGAAATAAAGTGATGGGTAGGGGTAGGGGGCGGGCATATTAAAATATTATATTACTCTTTGGCACGACCGATTTTAACAAATTTAGTGTTTTTTAAAAGGGATTAATTTGTTCTTTAAAATAATTATCTTTTTATTTGGTACTACTGATTTTTTTATTTCCATTATTGACAGCAATATCTGAATATCGGTTTAAATAGGTATTTGTTTCTATAATACTATTTGCAAAAAGTGCAATGATGTAAACATTTTTTACATTAAAAGACCAGTTAAATTATAACATAATTTAATACATTTTAGTTTACTAAAAAAAACACTTTTAACTTACTGTATTATCCGTTTTAAAGTCTAACGACATTTTTTTTAAAAAGCCGGATATATTAAAACTATTCAAATAAAAACTTTTTTAATTATTTTCAAACATTTTATTAACTTTATTTATAAAATTTATAATTTTATTAACATTTACAAAAATATAAATATAATAATAAATAAATAAATAATATAAAATATCTAACTTTTGAGTTTTTGTAATACGTATGTACTTATATGTACAAATATTTTATTTAAACATAAATATTATTTTCTCTAATTGTAACTTGTACGAAGCGATCAACAAATATTGAAATAATAGAAAAAATATAATAATAAACAAGAACAAATAAATAACAGACCGCGAAAGGCAACAAAAAACGATTTTAAATAATAATATAATAAAAAAATAAATAGTCCGCTAAAATAATAAATTCGGACAAGCAATATAATCTCAATATTCCGCACGCGGTGGCCTATCAAAGAGTATTCCTTATACGCGCTATGCAAGCCGACCCTGTAAAAAATCTCAACCGCCTACCTCAACTATTTCATGGCTGGCCGGCCAATCAGGGTAGATTTCGCCGCTGGCACGTGCTGATCACGCACTGTGCAATTGTGTATACTGGTGCATTTCGAATTTGAATTCAGTATAGAACTATGTTCCGCCGAATTATGTAGAATGTGGATAACATAGGAGGTTGCAACACTGCAAGGTTTAGATACACCGTAGGGAAATCTCAGGTGAATAAACAAGTGGCACTAAAAAGTTTTTTCAAATTTCCCGGAAAATGTCAAGAAAAATTTTAAATTTTCAACATTTTTTTTTCGCAAAAAAAACCTCATAGGCGTGTTTCTGGGGTTGAACTATACTACCAGTTAAAATATTTGCACTTATTTCTGGGACACCCTGTATATACAGGGTGTCCCAGAAATGAGTGCAAATATTTTAAGGGGTGGTAGATCTGGTCAAAAGAAACATATTTTCTCTTTACCATTTTTAAAATAAATTGAAAATAACTGAGTTATTTAACTTTGAAAGTTTTAAAAATAAATTGCGACATTTTGAGAGCCGCCGCGCCGGGGGAAATCGGCAATTTCCCGGATCTCGCCTTGTTCGCCGCCCGCTGTTGCCGTGACTAGAAAGTCTTAAAAACTACTTGCAAAATTCCATAACACTAAGTGGATGATCGCCAGTAGCCATACTTCCCCCATTTCCCAAATTAAATTAAAAGAAAAAAAACTTACCAAACATTAAAAAAGGATATCCCTATAGAAGATCGATATAATTGCAAAGCTTTCTTTTTTCCCACAGACACAAAAATATGCACTAACGAACATTTTAAACACAATCTCCGATAACTTTCTGGAGTTTTAAAAGCTCGATACTATTAGAACGATTTCTGATAGTCGAACGTGCTGATTATCTTATTTATTAACCAATAACCAAAATACCAAAATTATACTCAAATCTATAACCCAGCGACATCTATAGAATAACGGATTAAGCTTTTTTTGTGAACGGACAATCGGCACTGTGGCGTGCTAGGCAAGTCGTATTAGACGGGAGCGGTAGAGGGCCCTACTGCTCTTAACGGTATTCACGATTTTTCGGGGGTTCCCAAAATAACTATATGGATAACTTTCTAGAGTTTTAAAAGCTCGATACTATTAGAACGATTTCTGATAGTCGATTGTGCTGATCATCTTATTTATTAACCAAAATTAAACTCAAATTAATTCTATAGGATTAATTACTAAAAAGGACTAATAATTCTATAGAATAACGGATTAAGCTTTTTGTGAACGGACAATCGGCATTGTGGCGCGCAAGGCAAGTCGTATTATACGGGAGCGGTAGAGGGCCCTACTGCTCTTAACGGTATTTACGTTGTCTCGGGGGTTCCCAAAATCATTTAAAGAATGTAAACAAACCAAAATCAACATACGTTTTACGTGTATTCGTGTATAGTGCGTGTATCGCGTAAAGTTTTGGCACTTTTGGTGTAAAATTATTAATTTTCTTTTGTGTGTGAGTTCAGTAGAGGTTATAAGTAGTTATTAAAGCAAGTTTTTAACACTTTTTGTTGTATTTGTGAATTTAGTGTTTAATTATTATGTGAAATATTTTAAATAATATTTTGCAAGTGATAGATTTGTGATGTTCAAATTATTAGATATTTGGAATGTATGTGTAATGGTATATGTTGGATAAAAATACTGATCAATTTTCATCAAAAGGGGTAAGCTTTAACTTAATATTTAAAGATTGAAACGATTGAAAAAAATTCCTAATATTGCGAGAAAAGAAGCTCTTATAATTTATTTTTTCAGCCTACTCAGCTGTAAAAAGTACTTAAAACATTGCGCATTTTCCTAAAATTAGTATTAGCAATGTCCACTAATATGAATAAATTTAGTTTTCGTATTTTTCTATAGAAACTTATGGCGGGTTTATACAACATAATCGTAATCATCACAATTTTAGTCACAATCATAAAAGTCATAACATCGCAGTCGTAAACATAAGCATAATTTAATAACCTTGAAGTTCGTAAATTTTAACTTTTTTGATTGTGATTACGACCAAAATCGGTTAGGGGGCATTATTTTTTTTTTTTCATTTTTATGTTTAATAATTATGATAATTTTCGTGTTTAAAAAACCTGAGTAATAAAATTTAAACAAAAATACACTTCTAAAATGATTTTGAAATAGAAAAATAAGAAAATTAGGTTACTTTATTAGCTGTATTTACATTCCAAGTTATGCGACTATGTTGTATAAACGCATATTAAAATTTTGATTGTGACTGTGCTTATGCTTAATACAAAAATTATGATTATGATTACCACTATGTTGCAGCCCATTAAAATTATTACTTTGAATTTATAAACATTTAGAATGTGGGTATGGTAGGAAGTGGCAACATTGCATTCTCTCCGAGATTCTCTATATGCACGGTAAACGAATTTCCGGAGAGTGAACAGTGGCACTCAAAAGTTTTTCAAAATTTTCCGGAAAATGTCAAGAAAAATATAAAATTTTCAACATTTTTTTTTCGCAAAAAAACCTCATAGGCGTATTTCTGGGGTTGAACTATACTACCAGTTAAAATATTTGCACTCATTTCTGGGAAACCCTGTATATATACAGGGTGTATATACAAACCCTGTATATATACAGGGTGTCCCAGAAATGAGTGCAGATATTTTAACTGGTAGTATAGTTCAACCCCAGAAACACGCCTATGAGGTTTTTTTTGCGAAAAAAAAATGTTGAAAATTTTATATTTTTCTTGACATTTTCCGGAAAATGTTGAAAAACTTTTGAGCGCCACTGTTCACTCCCTGGGAAATTCGTTTACCGGGCATAGAGAGTGTCGGAGAGAATGCAATTGCCACCACCTCCCACCATATCCACATTCTGCATGTTTATCTATAAATTCAATTATTTTTAGTTGCTACAGAAAAAAATACGAAAATTAATTTTATTCATATTAGTGTAGATTGCTCTACTAATTCTAGAGAAACGCGCAATATTTTAAATACTTTTTACAGTGGAGTAAACTGAAAAAATAAATCTTAACAATTATAGCTTCTTTTTTGCCATATTAGGAAATATTTTCAATCGTTTCAATAAACAATTATAACCTTTAATGTTTAGTTAGAGCTTACCCTTTTAATGAAAGTGTTTTTATCCAGCACACATATACGCAAACACATACACACCAAATATCTATTAAACTGAACATCACAAACCTATCACATGCCTATCACTTTTAAAATATTATTTAAAATTTTTCACATGATAATAATCAAACACTAAACTCATAAATACAATAAAAAATGTTAAAAAACTTGCTTTAATAACTACTACTAATACTTATATCCGGCGGCTGATGGTAGACAGTCCGGGGTTTTCTTCGACATTTCTTCAAAACCGACGCAACCCCGACAACGATTTCGAAAACACTAAAGGAATTACAAATTACAAATTTTTATTTCGGAATTTTTTGACTTAGCGTCCTCTACTGGACTGATGTATTACTATTATGGGTCAACGTTTTGGTGGTTGTCTAAAGATAGATAAATCAATTTTCTAAATGTTTAATGTATGGAGTAGGGATATCCCAAAAATAAAATAAAAGTACAAGAAAGGGTATACCCAAGAAAGAATTAAGGTAAAATCAAAGAGTATTCTACGTTATCTAAAATATAAAAATATGGGAAGCCCCGACAAAAATCTGACACCTGATATCAAAGTGATAAACAAACATCGGCGCATGCGGCAGCGAGCACTTACACTTAATTTTTCAGTTCATTGCTAGATGGCCTTTTACTAGGGATGCACTGCAAACAAATATTCCAGCAAAACTAAAGTGTTTTCTTATTCTAAATTCTAACAAATAAATAAACCTGTAAAACTGTATAAATAAAATCGGTCTTCGATTTTATTAAAAATCACGTCGATTTGATAATAATCGATTCGAATCGTACATCCCTAGTATGGTGTGTAGTTTAAGGTTATGTTTAAGGTTAATCGTGGGTTATTAAACTCGCACAAAAACAAAACAGAAAACAACAAACAACAATGCAAACAATGCCAAATAAACCTGTAAAAAAGTACTTCTATTATTCAAAATGAAATATCATATAATTCAGTTGGTATACGAATATTTTTTGATTTATTTATAATGTTTGGTGTCAAAAATATGTGAGAAATGAGGTAAACAGTTTAAATGTCTTAATAAATTCGTTTTTAATTTATTAACCTTTCAGGTATCTACCTAATGGTAGGAAGAAATTAATTATGTAATGGTAGGAAAAATAATTTCACTTTAATTATGTATTAGAAAATCAGTAATCTTAAATTAGGATGTATCAATGGAGAAGAAGGCAATTGTAATCACAATACAATAATAGATCTACAAATACGAAGCAATACATTAAATCAAAAATCTCAGTAACACTGTTATTATGTACTCCCTGTGGTCTTATTAAGTATAAAGTTTTGTTTTACATGAAAATAATTATCCCATTTAATTATTCATTAAATTTTAGTGTCAGCTTATTGATAGCTCGATTACCAGTCAAATAGTTTCGATGTTTTCTATACTATGAAGAAAATTTGATCTGATTAGATTAATTCAGATGTAAATTTATGTTATACGGTAAGATATTTTTAAACAAACCAAGAAAGTTCTCTTCAGACAAGTTCTGGTCTGAAATTGCAAATATTAATGAAAAAGTTATACATGTAGTTTTCTATTCATAAATGATATTATTGATTTTATTCTAGGTGAATGTATCGAGTCATATTATATTCTGCAGAATATATTGAGAAAAATGGTAAACTAACTAAAAGTGCTAACAAAATTTCTTAGGAAGTTATCGATATACCTAATTATTAGAAGCTGTAACAAATGTTCAAAGAGTCAGAGTATACTTTATTAGAAGTGTGTTAGATAGAATTATACACTTTAAAGAAAATATCTTTTATTATTGCAGGTAATGCATATTGTGTAATGCATATAATATGTGAAATCTATTATTACATACAAAGATTGAAAATTATTTAAACAGCTACCTGTATGTTGTCTCACAATCTCATTTAATGAATGGGTTATTAAAAATTGAACATATTTACACACAGAATATTGTGGATATGGATATCTGGAAAGCATGTTATAACCATTTTTATTTTTAGGATTTATGAAATTATTACATAAATATACTAACAACAAATTGCAATGCATCTGTATATTAGAGACAAAGATGAAAGAGAGTAACAAGAATATATGTATTCAAAAGAAAAATATGAAGACCATTTGTAGTAATTAAAATTAAAGAATAAAATACATAAAATGTACCATATGATCGAAAAAAAAACGGCGTCCCCAGATAGCACATTTACGTTCTTTTCATATGCGAAGCAAGTAACTTTGGAGAACAACAATGTTCTATTCACATTCCTTTTTTTCATTGGGAACATATATGGCACATGAATAGCAGAGATTACGTTCCACCCTATTCAAGTGATATAGAAGTGCGTTTCACATTCCAAGATATATTCTATGAACGTGAATTATATGTTCGTAAAAGAATGTATTTAAAAATAATATTCCAATTATATGATATTCATGTTTTTAATATTCTATATTTATGCTTTTCATATGTTTTTCATATTTTTTTATTATCTACAGAGGCAAAATAAAACACTAATTTACCACAATACACCAAAACACTTTACTTTTGCACAGGACGCGCGTTTCGCTAACCATGTTAGCATCATCAGCAGATGGTCAAAATTTAAGTTTTAATCATCTGCTGATGACGCTAAGATGATTAACCAAACAAGCGTCCAGTTCAAAAGTAAAGTGTTTTGGTATATTGTGGTGAATTAGTGTTTTAATTTGCTGTTGTAACACCAAAGATTCCAACCCTCAACTCTGTATCTACTGGGTGTCCTGTATAAGGATGCCCTGTATCAATATCCTATAAACTATAGATATAGATACAATTTTTTTCATATTTAGCAATTTTTTTATCTCTTAAAATCTATAGGATACCTATACAGTACATTCATATCTGGAACACACTACAAACAATTTGCTGAAATTAAATAATTTGGTGTGTAATAATCAAAAATTAACTAATAAATAGAACGGTTAAAAATAATAGGTAAGGATAAAGACGAACTTGAGTAATATATGTTTATTAATTAAAAATATTTTAATATAACGATATACATTGATATTATCTTCTATGTCTATGTTTCTATATTCTCTTGTCTACCCTTCTGAAATAATATCAGCAGAATTATACTGTTCAAATAAATTTGCACAACTTACCTTGATATTTTTTAATCTTTCTTTTGTTTTTACAAGCCATATTTTAATTATATTGATAATTTCGGTTTCTTTTGACTCTTGAAATTGACCTTTCATGGGGTCTAAAATATATGTTATTACAGTCTTTGCAACACCAAATATCTTTAAGTTCAAATACCTAAAATTGCTTTTGGCCACTAACAATGATTTCAAACTTCTCTTCTGTTTGGCCCCATCCCAAGAATATTTTTGTGCAATTTCATTGCCCAGAACCTTATAAAGCATTTTCCTTGTACTTTTTGCTACTCCTGAACCACCAAGTCTAGATAATTCTCGAACCTAATAATTCTAAAAAATACCTTTCTCTTAAAAAATACACAATAAATGGTTATAGAAGAGCCTACATAAATACCTATATAAATACTATATTGTAAGAAATTTCAGCACTGGAACTACACTTATCAGAACAGAAATCTTCAATGATACTACCAGAGATACTACTACTTTGATGATGTACAGAGGATAATAAAAATCACTTTGGTCTGAATCCAGTTTAATGTACAATATTGAAGTCATATTTGCGTAACATTGACTTAATAAGATTTTGGCTCCTTTTTTTTTGGTTGAATTTTAAAATATTTTTAGTATAACCTATTTTTTTTCGAGGTCTCATGGTTTTAAATTCACTCACCTTAAAATAGATACTGAAAACACAAACATAACAAGAACTATTTTACCGATTCTATCCTTAAAATAATTATTTGCATCACTTATCTTTACGTTATCTCAGTGTTTTAATTATTAAAATAGTTTGGATGAAGCACGTTTACGTTTATAGGTGGTTTATAGTTCACTTGTTGTTTTTTATTAGGTTATGTTATGGATGTACGATTCGAATCGATTTCAGTCGAAGATCGATCTTTTTACCCAAAAAATCGATTAAAATCTATCGAGTTTTATCAAACTATCTTTTGGTATAATCGATCTTTTTATTTCATAATGGAAGATCGTTTTTATTTATACAGTTTTACAGGTTTATTTATTTGTTAGAATAAGAAACACTGTATTTTTGCTTGAATATTTGTTTACAGGGCATCTATATACACTAATATATAAAATCCCTAATTATTTAATACACAAAAATTTAATAGTAACTGATAGTAAGAAAATATACAAATATAATGTATTGTATTCATTTTTTCATTTCGAAATCATTTTATTCTCCTGTATTTTTTATTCAGATATTGATATGTTTAGAACGTGAATAGCAGATACTTAAAATTTATTGTAAACCATAATTTAAGAAGACATTCTAAGGTCATGCTGATAACATAGCTTTAAATCACATTCGTAGTAGAATGTACTATTCATATGCCATACTTATTAAAAAAAGAATATACTTATAAGACCTTAGGAGGAATATTCTTAGAATGTAAATGTTCCTTTTGTGCTATCTGGGGTCCAGTTGGCTGGGAAATGACGATCAATGACATTTCCTATATAAATTTACATATAAAATGACAGCGACCTTCATTTCATAGCCATCGTTGACGCCATTTTTTCTCGATCATACGGTAGTTTATGTGTGAACAAATTCTCATTTCATATAAAAATTGGAGCTCTATCTAGAGTATATTTGAATATAAATGTTTTTATGTATTGGAAGGGGGACTGTATTTTTCAAATATAATAAAGAAAATAGACTAAAAAAATATGTATGTAAGTTCTTTTTTAAACTATTCTGTAGTTAAGTAAATGTGTTTCAAATAGGTTGCTTTTCACAATAAAGTCAATGCACAGTAATTATGCTTTACTTTTTCAAAACACACTCTTGTTTTTTATTATCAGAGAGTTATTAATATTAGAAAATTTAGTTACATGAATATAATAGGAGCAAATATTATGTTTCAAGTTTCAAGTAATTAGAATATGATATGAGTCATAATAGCTTAAATATGATTGCTCATAAAATACCTAGTATATACACATTTAGATATATCTCTTTAAATATAAATTAGTATTGCCACCATGCGATTAATGGGAAATACAATATGGTCGTGAAAAAAAAAACGGCGTCAGCGATGGCTATGAAATAAAGATCGCTGTCAATCTATGTGTAAAATTTTATGGAGAATTTCACCGACCGTTATTTTCAAGCCATTCTGGACGCCGTTTTTTCCGACCATACGGTATTTCTAGGTATGGAATTATGTCTCTAATATGTAGTTAGGTAATTTTTTCCATTTGCCTATTGTTAATTATAACGTCGTCAAACTATAAAATTTGCTATATTTTTTAGTTAAATTTTTTTAGTAATATCAGAACATGTTTTGAATAGTTTAATTAGTAATAAAGCTACTAACATGTTCAGTTATTTTTTTTTCTATAAAGCTTTTTTGATAAAAAAATGAGTATACCTGCTAAGACGTTAAATTGCCTGAGAAATTACGATCGATGCCATTTACCATCCACTTTTACACAATAAAATGCCATCGATCGTAATTTCAAAAGCAGAAAACTTGCCGCCGTTTTTTCCAATGAAATGGGCGGTGGGGAGAAAATTACAGATTCCTGTATTATATTAACGACTAACGACATTATTAATCGCATGTACACAAAGCATGTACACTATTAGAAATCGATCTAATTTCTAATATTATCGAGCTTTTAAAATTCGAGAAAGTGATCGGAGATTGTGTTTAAAGTGTTGTGAAATGTTCGTTAGTGCATATTTTTGTGTCGGTAATCGGTATCGGTATAGGCAAATCACGATGGAGTATAGAAATCCGGAGAAGGTGGATATGCTAAGAGCATAGGTACTTTCTGGCAGGGGAAAGCGCTGTAGAAGCTCGGAGACTTTATTCCGAAGAGTATCCGAATAGATAAATCCCTAATGCTCGAACCTTTGTAAGTATGGTTCAGCATTTGAGGGATTCGGGAAAAGCAACGAAGAATTGCTGCAAAACGTTAAAAATTCCATGCTCAGAAGAAGGAGAGCATGTATTGGAAATGGAGGTCGTCATTTTGAACAATTATTATAATAGCATGCAGTCAAGAAGCGAAGGGTATACCGGGTGGTGCATCATCGTTGGAAATATAGGATATCCCATGCAAATTTTGAACTGTCGAGATATTGGATCCCCTTGTGCAAATTTGTAATGTATCTTTAAAAACCATTTACGATTTAGCTCTAAAATTAATAGGGGAGCCAATATTTCCACAGTTGAAAATTTGCATAGTGTTGTTAAGAATTGTAGTGAAGTGATGTTATTAAGTGTAGTGTTATGTGCAGTTTTAAGAGTGGTAAAATGGAAAAAAAGAAAGCTCTGCAGTTGTATCTCTCTGCTATAGGGATATCTTTTTTTATTGTTTGGTAAGTTTTTTTTCTTTTAGTTTATTTTGTGTAATGTGGAAAGTAGGGCTACTGGCGATCACCCACTTAAAAAAAGTAACGCACCTCTGCAGAACCTCTTG